TTTGCTCTGTCCTTTCTGCCCACCGCCAGCCGCTCCCCCTGCCCTGGCGCAGCCTGCGCCTTCCCTGTGGTTTCAGGCTCAGAGGCTTTTTTGAGGGATAAGGTTTCTCTTTCTCCAGAGATATTTTGCATTTTGAGGTTTTATTTCTTCCTTTCCTGAGGTCAAAATATCTGCATGAGCTCTCCCCCTCTCGGAGCAGGGGAGGGAGGGATGGAGGGAAGGCAAAAAGGAGGTTTAAAATTAGGAGCAAACTTTCCCTGTTGCATTAAAATGCCATTTCAGGGGGCGGTGGGAGGTAAGGGCTCAATCGGTGCCTTTAGCAGGAGGTTTCTGTGCGTGTTTGGCGTATCAGGTAAAGCTGTACCTAGGAAAGGGGTTAACCTGCTCAAAACCAGCCCAAAGCAACAAAACCCGAATGCTAAAGCCACTGAGCAGCTCCGCGGGTGTCCTCTGGTCCCCGGGGAGGCTGCTGGGAGGTGGCATTGCCGTGCCTGGGCTCCTGGCCGGGACCACCGTCCTCCTGCTCTAGCCTGGCCACCAGCCCTTCGCCCAGCTGGAAAAACCTCCCTTTTGGGAAGGCGCTTTCCCAAGGGAGCAATTCTGCAGTGCTTGCTACAAGAGGTTGAAACGTGGATTTTATTTTTCTCTTTTTAAAGTCCGTGGGGGCTTTGCTGTGTTGTGCCGAGCCCAAGAGCAGCCCCGGCACTGGCAACAGCTCAGGGAAGGGCTCGGTTCCTCCTCTACCTCCACCAGTTTCCTGCAATTTGCCTTCCCCACCCTCGCCCCCCAAAAAAACCACATTTTCCCGCACCCCTCTGGCTCGCCCCTTGGAAAAACAGGCACGGAGTTGGCTGGGCTGGAGGAGCTGGCTGCTCTTTGCATCCTGAATCCGGCCATTTTGGAGCAGCCCTGGCTCCGACCTGCACACGGAGCCCCTGCCAGCCGTGGGCTCGCGGGCCCTAAACCCCTCCATCCTCCTCCGCAGCCACCAAAAGGGCTGCAGCGAGCAGCTCGGCTCCAGCCGGTGGCACCCAGTTCCTGGGAAGGATGGAAATTCAGTCTCCTGGTTGTCTCAGCAATGGCTGACCGATGTGCCATGCCCGTGCCCACCTCCCCTCTGCCATCGCCATCGCGCTCCGGCGGCGAGGGACGGGGATGCTTTCCACCTGTGGCTCGGTCCAGTGGGAAACCAGTTGGCTCAAACTTGCCCCCAGTTGCAGATGGGAGTGGAGCAGCCCCTTCGGCGGCAGTGCTTGGCATCACGGGAGGGCTTTGCTTGGATTGCTCGGTGCTAGAAGAGGCTCCCAAGCACGGGGAAGAGCTGGGCTGAGGAAGAGGACGATAAGGGCCTGGGATGGGTGAGGTGCCAGGGCTGGCACGAGCAAACCCGATCAGTCACCACGAAGGCCCAGAGTATATTTAAACGTCCTTGAGGAGGGCTCAGATGGGCAGAGCTGCTGGGAGAGCGGCTCTGTTTGTTTTGGGTGGTGCGTTGCTCCCCTTCCTCTCTGCTCGGGTAGCTGATGCCGGATTCCCGATGAATTATTTATCACGGGACTAAAAATACTTGGGAATTCACAGCGAGGAGCGGGCAGCGCAGGCCGCCCCGCCGCCGGGCTGGCCGTGCTGGAGCGTGGGACGCTGCCAGCATGGCATGACTCACCCGCCGCCCTCTCCGGCCAAGGGGCCCTGGCTGCGGCCATCGGTGCGGCGGCGTGGCTCCTGCGGCTCGGCCGGCTGCGATGCGGGGCGGTGGGAGGGATGCAGCCGGGCAGGGAGAACCCCCCTGGGTGATGGTGGGTGCTGGGGGTGGATGATCTCCTGCTGA